GTTAAACTCAAGCAAGCGATGGATTCTTATTTTCCTGAAATGGATGCTGCCATTCATTTTTGTGGTGCCACTCATTGAGCGCGAAACAAATCACGTTCACGAAAAACTTGCAACTCAATACGACTTTCTCAGATATTTTGGTCAGTGTAGGAAAAACTAAGTCAAAAACTTCGAAAAAAATTTTCATTCTATTTACTCACAAAATTACCTGTTACATATTTGTTAAATTTTTTTATGATATTTGCTGAAAACACTCTTTCTATACAGAGACCGTTCTCAGTCTAATAAAGAGTAATCTCTGGATATAACTAATTCTGTGTGCGCCATTCTTCATTCTACACTTTCACATGTGTGCAATTACGCATCTTGCCTTGAGCTGCTTAAACCATCTTATAGTGCTAACTTTCTCTCAAAGAGCACCATGTCCACTAGTTATACATCTCTGTGGGTAACACAACCATTGTCAGCCTCTTTGTGTGGAACAAGTTTTTTTATATATCGTCTTGTTCGGGAGTTTTTTTAGGCATACAGTAGTGCAAGTAGAAGCCATTCTTCGCAAGAGCTGGACCTTGTCAGATACAGTTCACGCCCCCGCATGGACAGTTCTTAGAGAACATGGCATTTATTGATTTTGAAGGCATCTGCACAAATTTCCTAAGTCTAGTGGATAAAATGTAAGTTATTCCTCAACTACTACCACTTGCGTAATGGACTTGCTTCCACGAGATTTTTCGCTACAAGCTCTTGATTGTGTTATACGAACCTATTAGTAAATGAAAACTGTTCATCATCAGTGGCAACTCTGCTCACTATTTTATGAAGAAATGTATTTATTCAAATTCCGTAGTGCCAGTTTTTACGTAATGACTCAGCCGAATCCAGCGGACGCTATCACAAATGGGTTGCGTTGTATGTGTACATGTGAACGATTTATTTACATTTTTCTGCTGTTGAAGGATCACAGGAACGTACGTAATAATACATATGTAGTAATTCTGCCAGGTTTGTGATCTCCCTTTTTCCATTATTACGCAAGTCTCCATTGTGGGACACAGCAAATAGCTCCTCATACACGGGTGATTAATATTTTTGATTGTGCCAGGCAAATAACAGAGCAGTCAGTGAGTGCATAGATCATAGGTATGAAATACAGACATTCACATTGTGTCCTTGAGAAGGAAACACAAGCGCAATTCATTCAAATTAGACATAGTTTCATATTTATATATGATATACATATATAGTACATTATATATATATATATATATATATGTATATATAATATATTGTTCTCTACAGTTTTCTCACTAGTGATTGAAAATTTGGTAAAAGATCTTAGTGAATTCGTTAACATAGTATGACTACCTTGTAAGAAACATGAAAAATTGTATGAAACAAAGTGATAAAAATACAATGACAATCAATGGTATCAGAGGGTCCACTTCCGTTATTAGAAGAGAAGATTTTTTCGGAGGAGCTCTTTTGTTGTGTGACTTTCTTGCACTTTTTAATATATCATTCGAAAGTCTAGATCTCGAGGAACTGAAAAAATATTCAAGAAATTTTGAGTGGTGAGCAAAAACACATGCGAAAAAAAAAAAACAGTAAAAATACTAGAAATTTTCGGAGTATTATATCTAGCAATGGCTGTCAGCTTAACTGGATTTATAAAGAAAAAATCGCATACCCGACCAAACCTGATAAACCTTGGTGGTTGTTAGCAAACACAGAGATGTTGAAGAATGAGAAGATGCCGCAAAAATTTGCCTCGGTGGTGTAGTGGTAGACCACGCGTCCCCCGGATAAGATAAAACGCGGGGTTCGATTCCCGCTTGAGGCCGTGTTTTTGCTCGCCACTCAGCTCTCTGAGGTATATATGTAATATCATAACACTTCGAGAAAAGCTGTGAAAATACTGGAACTTCACTCAAAAATAAATGGGTTACCAAGAAAGCCTCGTTACGGTTCTGTGGCTTTACAAATAAAATTGTATTTTACACTCGTTTGCATTTGATTCTCGAGGATTTTTTGTTATTTTAGTTTAAGATTGTTTTCGTCTTTTGGTGAAGATTTTCAAGTTATTTGCACTTATCTTTTTAGAAGAAGCCTTTGCTCTAACCGTTTCAGTGCTTAGGCTTTTTGTTTGCAACATACATTGACAAATAAGCCAGCTATTAAGATTAGGCTCTGAGCCCAAACCTAAGCAGTCTAAGTCTGACCGCGAAAAGCATATAGACGTGTAGAGGAAATCTCCAATCATTAAAGCCGTCTGTTGTATCTAGCTTACTTGTTGAACCGGAGAAATATCTTAAATTCAATGAGAAGCATCACACTCTACCTATGAATCGCACCTGTGTTTCGGATCGGTCAGTGACATCGATCCATTTAGCGCATGTGAAACTTAATCTTATTTTCCCTACTACAGCTCAGTACAAAAGATTTTGCAAAAACCAAGTCGATTTTCGAAATCATAGAGATTTATGCTATTCAACGGTTGCCAATGGTCTAACGGAAGAGCTCTGAAGTGTGACATAAAAGCGCAGTTAGCTCCGCGCTTGTTAAACATAAAGCTATTTTGAATGCCTTAGCGTTGCGACAAGGCTTTTTCAGAAAAAATTATTTCTGAGTTCGCAGAGATTCAAGCTTTCAGTTTTTTTGCTAGTAATCCAATGAAAACTTTCTGTCTAACGACAAATTGCCCCATAATGGAAATGATCCGTATCAAATAAACTTAGGCTGCGCAATAAAAAGTGGAAGGGTAGCGCAGTGGCTGGTGGTCCAGTATAAAAGAAAAATGAGGAGCTTATCGTTATGCTAGCTCGATTCTTCTCCAACACTTTCTTGCAAATCTCTGGTAAAAGCTCTAACCTGGACTATTGCAGAGATTTCAAGGAAACTGCTCAACCAATATTCTGCGACAATCGTGAACAGAAAGGAAAATCCTCAAACAGCAGCCGATTCGAAGTGTGCAGAAAACTTTTAGGAGAGCAATTGCGAGAAAATTGAATTCTATAGGTGTGGAGATTCACACAATGAAATGTGATAACTGGTCGCATAAAAATCACCTCTCACTTGGTCAGTGGTGCAGTATTACAAGGCGAAGTGAAGCGCACTGCGTTGGTGCCATCCCTCGCTATATTTTCATGCAATGAATCAGTTAGCGATATAAGCCCTAGATTGAGTAACTCCAAGACTGTACAAATAATCGCCTGGACGAGCATTTCACGAGACTCATAAGGAGGAAAAATCCTCAAGCACTGGTCGAGGCAAAAACTTTAATTTTTTGAATAAACTTGTTGAGGATGAGTGTGAGGAAACGAATCAAGAATACGGGCGCGCCGAAATCAGCACAGCAAGTCGTAATGACGAATCGTGTATAATGAAAAAAAGTGATGAAACGCTTGAAATATGTTCTCATAGTGATCGATTTTAGGTCGCCAATATAATGACGGGCTTTTTTCTTCTGCACAGCCTTCATCGCTTGTTTAGTGTGTTATTTGAGGATTCTTCGTTTTCTTTATTGTCGTAGACTGAACAAAATGATGTGAGTCATTTCGTGGTAATATCATTAATACTACTTGCGCTTCTGATGATCGTAGACAAGATTTGGCTTTTGGGGCGAAATGAAAAAAAGCATGTGTCGGTCCTGCTGCCCCATATCCATTGTTAAATTCAGTTTGGTCATTGTAATCAATTATGACAGACACAGAATTCTGTGATGAAAATTAACGCAATAGCAAGGATATGACATGTTTTGAGCCAATAGGTCTAGTGCTATATAGGTGCCTATTTCGTCCCATTGGGACTCATCAGTAGCACCCTCCCTCGGTTCCGTCGATCCCTTGAGGTTAGATAATCGTCCAAAGGAATCGACGCCGAGTAAAAAACTAAGCACCTCAAGTCGGATGATGGTATTACCTGACTTTGTGGTGACCGGCAGTCGAGCTTGCGGCTTTTAGAATGAACCATACCTCTGCTATCGACCGCTCTTTTACAGGCCCGCTCAAAATGATTCAGTCTGATAAGGATATTACTTGTTTTGAGCCGATTACTTTAGAGGATTATTTCACCTCAAGGGATCGACGGAATCGAGGGAGGGTGCTATTGACGAGTCCCAATAGGACGAAATAGGCGCCTATATAGCACTAGACCTATCGGCTCAAACAAGTAATATCCTTATCAGATTGAATCATTTTGAGCGGGTCTGTAAAAGAGCGGTCGATAGCAGAGGTATGGTTCATTCTAAAAGCCGCAAGCTCGACTGCCGGTTACCACAAAGTCAGGTAATACCATCATTCTACTTTGTGTGCTTAGTTTTTTACTCGGCGCCGATTCCTTTAGAGGATTTTTTGTTTTGATTTCTAATTTGGTAATAATACGTACATTGATGCTCTATTGTCACCTGCTAAAATCCTTGCAGCAACTCAATTGCTTAGGTAGCCATGATTCAAATAAATTAGAATTACGCCTGTTAAGACTTTGCAGTTTCAAATCTTACATCCACTTTGAGCGCTCCTTCATCTTATATATCAGTTTTGTTTGGCATTCTGGAACACTCGATTTCGCTGTATGTAGCAGACGAGTTCTGTGTACCACAAAACAGTTGATTTAACTCCAAACAAAGAATGATTTAAGCTCAAAAAAAGGGGTTGGTAAGCCCAGGGTCATACACCGGTGTTTCGGAGGTTCGTCCTCCTCATCAGTGACCCCCGCCCCACATTCAGCCCTGCATTGAAGCAAGGAGGGTGGCGTATGTGGTGATGGCACAGTGTACTATGACACTGTACCATCACCACCTCTCAGTCGATAGATTTTTGCTGTTAGATCAAAACTATATCAAAAGATCGACTGTTTTTGAAACCCCCAAAAAACATTCAATATAATTCCAAAAAAAAGAATGATTTAAGCTCAAAAAAGGGGTTGGTAAGCCCAGGGTCATACACCGGTGTTTCGGAGGTTCGTCCTCCTCATCAGTGACCCCCGCCCCACATTCAGCCCTGCATTGAAGCAAGGAGGGTGGCGTATGTGGTGATGGCACAGTGTACTATGACACTGTACCATCACCACCTCTCAGTCGATAGATTTTTGCTGTTAGATCAAAACTATATCAAAAGATCGACTGTTTTTGAAACCCCCAAAAAACATTCAATATAATTCCAAAAAAAAGAATGATTTAAGCTCAAAAAAGGGGTTGGTAAGCCCAGGGTCATACACCGGTGTTTCGGAGGTTCGTCCTCCTCATCAGTGACCCCCGCCCCACATTCAGCCCTGCATTGAAGCAAGGAGGGTGGCGTATGTGGTGATGGCACAGTGTACTATGACACTGTACCATCACCACCTCTCAGTCGATAGATTTTTGCTGTTAGATCAAAACTATATCAAAAGATCGACTGTTTCTGAAACCCCAAAAAACATTCAATATAATTCCATCGACTGAGAGGTGGTGATGGTACAGTGTCATAGTACACTGTGCCATCACCACATACGCCACCCTCCTTGCTTCAATGCAGGGCTGAATGTGGGGCGGGGGTCACTGATGAGGAGGACGAACCTCCGAAACACCGGTGTATGACCCTGGGCTTACCAACCCCTTTTTTGAGCTTAAATCATTCTTTTTTTTGGAATTATATTGAATGTTTTTTGGGGGTTTCAAAAAACAGTCGATCTTTTGATATAGTTGATTTAAATATTCCATTGGCTTTCATGTCGACTCGTTTCTCTGAATGCCGCTGGCTGCTAGAGTAAGCAAAAATGGTTAAATAGAGCAATGAAATGAGAATGATACTCCCGCGATGATCATCTGCAAATTAACATTCGGAATTCTAGAATGCTTCGATATCAAGTGATATTTGCATACCACAGCACTGGCAAAGATTTTGGGAAAATGAATATGTCGTAGAACATGTCTGGGTAATCTTAACATGTTTTGAACTTTTAGATGTAATGCTAAAACAGGTTTCGTCCCTTTGGGGCTCATTACTACCACCCTCCCTCAATTCAGCCAATCCCCTGAGGATAAATAATCATTTATAAAGGAATCGACGCCTAGTAATAAATCACCCCAAGTCAGATGATGGAGTTACCTGGCATTGTGGGCAGTCGAGCTTGTAGATATTACAATAAATCATACCTCTTCTAACAACCTCTTTTTATAGAACTGAAAATGATATAATGTGATAAGAATACAACATGTTTTAAGGTGTTCGGTCTAATTCTATACAGGTACCTGCTTCGTCCTATTGCGACGGCTCAAAAGCTTTAGCAGTTCCTAATAGCGCAAAATATGCTATATCTTATCACAAGTTATTATTACTAAAGAGTGTGTAATTTAGTCAAGTAAATGTATACTGCTTACACAAAGCACCGAATGCTTAGAAAATGTGCAGTCTTCTTACAGAACAGTCTTGCTGCTGAAATGATCCTCAATGTTCTTCTTTTATTTTCAGGGCAAGGGCGATATTGTGGCAGGCATCAACTGCATGCTTTTTGTCACCGTTCGAGAAAGCCATCTCTTCGACCATTTTTACTTGCTTTATCAGTCCTATTACCTTGGAACGTGGTGTTTCAATCAATATTACACAATGAACCTACTGCGAGCACTTGGAACTCTTTTCATTACCCTTCAGCGATATGTCACGATGTGTTGCGCGGGATCCATTATTGAAAATGTAAGGTGAAGTTGGAAATGAATGAAAAGCAATAGAGGATAAAAATCCAATATATTACTATCCCATCTGAGATGGCTGGTATTTCTGAATGTCGAATCGTTGTCAAAGATCGTGTTGATTCTCCAACAGTCGAAAATTCATTTATTTGACCGCCTCTTGCAGTGGTATGATG